CACCCACCTCAAAGCGGTCGTCACCAGTCACTCACTCTCACTGGAGACTACATTGAAAGCCCATGTAAACCAACCAGAAGATGCTTTCTGATTTCAGTGGACTGTATACCAAGGCCAAAGGCTGGTGGTTCACCACTGAATAAGCACTGGGTCTGCAGGTTGCTGCCAGGACTGTCTTCCAAGCAAGATGCAAAAATCCTAAGGTCCTGTATAGGTATGGTCATGAAATATCCCCTGCCACATTGCCAGAAGTCCCCAAAGGAAATTTATCTCTGAATTCTGCTTGAATTGAAGTCCCTCCCTTTACTGCACCTACATTTTCATCTTGCAGAGGTGGTATTTTGATTTCCTCACTTCATCTGATGTGAAATGGTTGGACTTTGCACCCCAGAAGTGGTTGCATTTTGCCAGCAGGCAAAGTAAATCCTTCTGTGGAATATTCAGAGAGCTCTTTAACGCCCTTTGAATGGAAAGCCTCTGCAGGATGATCTGTTAATGAGTATGAAACCTAAGCATACGTAAGGAGAAAAAAAATATCGATATACACATTGGCTGGGAGCCCGCTGGCTGTGAAGCCTCCCCAGGACAGCATTTGCACCAAAACCTTGTACTCTCATTGGCTGTAAGCACCTCCAGGACAATATAGTGCCATTATACCAAGCCATCAAGGCTTTCTTGATCTTTGACTTATTTAGTATCATTTGCAGGTCGTAACATTTTGACTGAATCTTCACTGATGAAACCTGTACATCCGTTTAGAAAGAATTTGTTGGAAGGCACATCCAGGCCCTCTGATGTGACAAGGAGGGAGAATGGATGGGTAGTATGGTTGCTGCTGCTATACAAACTATTTGGATAAGATCTCTGCCATCCACTACTTCCAACCGGTCATGCAGGTCAGCTATATGCTACTTCCTAACCTTCCTGTTAGTTCGTTGAACAAGCCGTGTCTCAAGACATTCAGCAGCCCAGTCACTCGGTCAGGGATAAACCTGTGGTCAGGATGGAGGTCGACGTCTCTTCGTGCTCTGTTGGCATTACGGGCTTCAGGTGGAAAAGCTCATCTGACAGTAGAGAAAATGGGCAACAGCTTGATGGCAGCTATTGGTGTCTACGGCAAACTCTAGTCAGAGAACTTAATGTTTGGAGAACTGAGCTAATTTCCCCAAAACTCACACTCTCAGGGTGAGAGAATAGAAATAATCGTCAGTCCAGTTCTTTCTGATGCCTGACTTGGAGAAGGTTATAAGACAGCAATGTTTGTATTAAGGAATCCACAATAAGAGTGTTTTTGGGATGCCGTGCAATGGGAATATGAGATCTTGGCACAGAGGCTAATATTTGGCTCAGTCAAACACGACAGGAAGGCCATCCTGCACTGTGTAACCTCAATCAAAGCACAACAGAAAGTGCAGAGCAAAGCCAGGAGCTATTCCGGGAAGAACTCCCGATGTGTGATCAGCTAGCAGGGGTGGATCAGATCCAGGAGAAACCAGGGGACCAGTAAATGATCAGACCACAGATGGAGTTCGAATTCCCACCAGGCTTCTCTTATAGCCTTTTGTAGCCTGTTAAAACATCCTCACCCCCAAGTCCCCCTGCCCAGAAGAAGAAAAGATAACCACAAAGCAGAGTAGAGAAAGCTCTGCATGGGCATTTTTATTCCTGCCCTTTCAGCTGCAAAAGGTGGTCCCTTGAACCCCTGGCAGGAGTAGGCAAGAAATTGCCGGTTTTGTGATGGTCCAGATTTTCCTTCGGAGGGAAAAACCTCATTTAGCTGAGCTGTTGCCAAACAGCACCATTTTCCCGAGGATCATTTTACAGCATGAAGCTTAGAAGGATTTGCACTGTAGGAATTCATTTGTTATTCCATGTGGTACTGCTGCTTGGGCTAAATTGACAAAATATTTATCCAGAGGGTAGTGCATCCATTTCTGCTCTGTGCCTCCTCCTCAGACGAGGCCGTTCCAGTCTGGGTTAGTGGTTTCTCGGTATTGCTACCTGGCATTTCCCCAAAAGGCTTTTTTTTTTTTTTTTTTTTTTTTGTCATGGAGTTACAGACAGGCACCTCGTGAGGGCAGCATGTCCCCGCTTTTCTTTTTTCCACCTTTCATTTGACCCTGCTCTGCCTTCCAGACTGAAGCAAAAAAAAAAAAAAAGCTGTGTACACACTACAAACGACACTATTCTGCTTATGCGGCTTGAATTAATGAGGGTCTTGAAGCAAGCTGGTGACATCCCACCTCATGACACGCTGGTGCTATAGAAAATAGTGCTGCCCTGCTTTGCAGATAGGGAAAAAGCAGCTAAGTAAACCCGTGTAACATGCTTAGGATGCCCTATGGCTGGCAGTCGAGGAAGGCCTAAATCATCGCAGGTGGCCTGCACCCAATTGCCATGCTTTTTCCATAAATTAAGTCATGTACCCTTTTGCTCCAGTTCTGTCTGCCAGAGGGAGAGCTCTGATTTGAGGCAAAGGGGATAAAATAGGACATAAACTATGTATATGCAGGAGGAAGAAGAGGTGACAGTGGAAAGTCCCCTCTCCCAGCCTGTAAGGAGGCACAAACAGGTACAAAAACACATTGAAAGTCCCCCAGCTACTTTCCTTCCCCTTTTAACAGGCGAGTTTTTGAGCCCACTCCCAGCCAGAAAGGAGGAGAGATACATCTGTCAGGAAGGGGCAAATACAAGAGTGCAAGACGACTGAAACCAGAAAGGGCTGATAGAGCCCTGTGCAGAGGAAAGGACAGGGTTATCAGGGCTCTTGCAGGTATAATGAGGAATGTGAGGAGGGCAGGGAGGTCTTAAAGCACTGGAGAAGTGCAAATGCACTTTAAGATCAAGCTAAACAACAGCAGAGGAAGGGAAGGTTGCCGAGCTAAAGGCAAGACGGGTGCACAGGAAAGCAAAGATGCCCATTTCTCAAAAAAGACTGTGAGAAGAGCTCTATAAGGGCTGGTCTGTCACGGGCAGGAGCCTACCCCTTGTTACGGCCAAAGGAAGACTATCAGTACTTAAAGGGGGCTGATAAAAAAGATGGCAGCAAACTTTTTAGCAGGGCCTGTTGCGACAGGACAAGGGGGAATGGCTTTAAACTAAAGGGGGGTAGATTTAGACTAGATCTAAGGAAGAAATGTTTTACGCTGAGGGTGGTGAAGCACTGGCCCAGGTTGCCCAGAGAGGTGGTGGATGCCCCATCCCTGGACACATTCCAGGTCAGGTTGGACGGGGCTCTGAGCAACCTGATCTAGTTGAAGATGTCCCTGCCCATGGCAGGGGGGTTGGACTCGATGAGCTTTAGAGGTCCCTTCCAACCCAAACTATTCTATGGTTCTATAAGACGCCTGGACAACAAGGCAAAAACATAGTGATGCCATCCTGACACTGCCCCAGCAACCTGTAGCCTGGTCACCACTGAGTCAGAGGTGCTAACTTTAACTTCTATTAACAATTAGGTTATTTTACAATACGATCTCTTTTGTTCTGGATGCTGTGTACATCAAAGGCAGCCCCTCCCCAAGAAGTCTCTATGTTACACAGGCAAGGGCATAAGTAGGAAAATGTAGGCACAGAAGGTACCTACAGTACCACGACACCTCCAGTGAGTTTTTCGCTAAATCAATCAAAATCATTAAACACACCACAAGCCAGAGATGAATTTTAGGTAAGGCTCTTACCCCTGCGCTCCTAAGATTGGCAAGAGAAGGGAAAACCAACTGCAGAAAAAGAGCTTGGAAGGAGTCATTTGTCCATGAGCTCAGCTCAGAAGGGTGCTTGAAACTTGGATGAGACTAGCATGTCCTGGGCTGGTACCTTGGGCACAAGATGAGATCAAAGGAAAATTCCAGTTTTATAGACTGGTGGTAAGTGGGTAGAAAAGAACAATATTCAGTGGCAACCTCATGTTAGACCTTAATTAAGGGGACTTCCAGCACAGCCAAGAGTTTTGGGCAGAGCTGGTCCCACCTTGCAGTATGGACAACTGCAGGACATTTATTAGTGCAGCCCTTTGCAGGAGCGGATCCTTAATTTGGAATAGCTCCCTTGCTCATCTGCTTTAGGAGGATTTGCAAGCAGCAGCTGTGCTTTGATATAAAACTCAATAATGGAACACATTGCTTGGAAAAAGTTCTGTAAGAACTGACCTCCTCCAGTTTGTGCCAAGGCTTTAGAACAGAGCGTTCATGGCTTTCCTTGCTGTGCATTTCCAGCCAAGTCACTGGAAACCCAGCCTTAGATATTTGCTAGCAGAGAACACGAGGACCAAATCAATTTTACTAGGGGTGAGAAAGGGAGGTTAGCAACACACCACGTTTATCTTCTAGAGCAGGAGGCTTCCAAAGTCCATTGCCCAAGCCTGAGAAGGGGAAAGAGGAAGTTTAGCTTTCACCTTGAAGGGCAGACTGAAAGGGCAGCAGTGTCAGCCTGTTGAAGTCAGCCAGCACTGATGGACCACTTCCACGGCTCATAGGCCAGCCCCAGCCCAACAGACAACAGGTTAAACCCTTACTTGTTACGAAAAGAGCCCATGTGAACTTTACTGCAGTGTGTGCTATTTCTGGAGCACTTTGCACCTCCAGAGGTGGAAGGCTAGGGGGCTCCGACAGGAGCCGGAAGGATTTCCTCAGCTGAGGACCAGGGATGCAGTCCAGCTCTTTGAGTGCTAGGCAGGAACAAAACCCAAAGTCATTTGCTGAAAGGAGCAATAGGACATGAACTTCCTGAATCTGCTCAGTAAAGGAGGTCCATGGGTGTAGGCCGCCTTAGCTCCTTATACACCAACAGGCAAAACTCCACCCTAAAACCGCAAAGATTTGCTTACCCTATCCTGGGTGTCCCATGCAGAGACACGGATTAGCGTGCGTCTGCTTTTGACCAGACAGACCAGGTTTTTTCCCCATAAAAGCCAAGGCGCAGCTGCAATCGCACAAACAATTGCTGTAACATGAACCCAGCCACGTGCCACTGCAACACCAAAGAGACCAAAGCAACCCACTATTTTTGCCCAAGTTTATTTCTAGAAATTTGTACAAAAATTGATACTCTGTAATACAATAGTCTATCAAATATGACAGATGAACGTTTGTCTTTAGAGGCAAGATTCCAGGAATGTGAAGTACCGTCCTCTTGCGTGGAAGAAAGGCACATTTTGGAGCTCAAAATACACTCAACCATTGAAAAGGCAGGTCAGACATGCAAGTAGTGCAATGTTTCAGGTTTATATGTATAAACACGTTGTACTCTGAAGAAATCTCACTACAAGCAGTGTTAACATCCACGTAAACATTTTATAAACACTTTAAAGAGTCACTCACTTTAGATCCTACGCGCGAAAAGGCTACTCCTTTACATTCACTGGACAGAATATTTAAAAGCCATCTTTGGGCAGAAGTTACTCCTAGCTTTCCCCAAATGCTTTTGGGATCCAGAACACTTCCATGAATAGTCCCACTGCATTTACCCCTACAGGCTACCCTAAGGGTCTGCAACACCGGGGCCACATGATTGCACCATCCCACCGCTCCTAGAACTTGTCCTTGGAGTTTTGTGGCTATGAAGGAGTCCCATATTTCCAGCTACGTGCCTCTGTGCAAGCAGCACCTGGGACAGACCTGCTTCTAAAATGACATTCAGAATACAAGCGGTGAAGTTACAGCCACCAAAGTATCCACCACACTGTATGGATCCAGGTCCACCAGACTCACAGCCCTTCGTTTCCCGCGCTGCATGCAGTAGGAGCCACACCAGGGGATTTGGCAGCCTGCTTGTCCTTTCAGAAAGGGTTTTTCCAAAGCAGAAATGCCCTTCTGCTACATAAGCATGTCTCAACATGCCTCTTGTGCAACACTCCTGTAATACTGCCATCCCAGTCAAATCAACCTGCTGCTTTTCTGACTGAAAACCAGATGGATCCTACTCTCCCAAAATAGCTTGTGCTAGTGGGTACAGTAGCTGTAGGAATGCTTCTAATCCATCGCTGTCAATCCAACACCATTATATAGCAGATTACAAAGGCAATCATTTCCCCCATCCAAATCCTCGCAGCAATGGGGAGTTGTGCTTTTTTGGATAGAAGGATGTTTGTAATGGGATTTATCCAATGTAAAGCCTTTTTTTTATTTTTAAAAGTGGTCTAGCAACACTTTAAACACTTTCTTTGAAAGACACATACACCCACACATGCTTTCAAGTACACGATGACAGCTTGGACTGCTGGAGAAGATGTGTTGATTCTGAGAGAAGGAGGTGCTGCTGAGCCAGTCCCTTCAGTTGACTTCCAAGACCTCAGTCTCTGGCAGGCCGAATTTGCTCTTATACTTGTCAAAGAGTTTGATCAGGGAGTCCACATATATGCTGTGGTAGAAGTCCACTTCCCTCTGGGACGGGTTATCGATTTTGGGGATGGTGATGGGCTCCCCAACTGATAAAAAGAGGGAAAGATCCACATGTTAGGTTGAATGCTCCTGTACAGCCTGGAGATTTGTCCTCCATGGCCACAACTGTGGTAGTTCGGCATGTCCACCCTGGCATAGCACAGCTTGCCATTATAGCAGAGGTTTGCCCGATTCCTCCCAGTTTTGCTAAGGTCTGAGGCATGCACAGCTGTCCCACCACCAGGACCCTCATCACATCTGCAGTGATACCCAGATCCATTTTAGCCACACAAATGCCAGCAGTGCAGAGCCTCTACTGTGCAAGGTGGTTGGAAAGTCCCACTTGCTTCTGTTTACAGCGGAGGGGTAAATCCCTCCTCAACTAACAAAATCAAGACTAAAAGCTGCAGTCCTTGTCTATTCCCCTATACACACTGCAAAAGCAAAGAAGCACTTTTTTCTCTCCCTCAAAGCCGCGCTGCTTTGGGTTGGAAGACTCAAAGGCTAATTTTAGGGTTGGCTTTAAGATTCAGCTATCAGACAGCATCGCACTGCCAGTCCTAGGAGTGGGGGGGGGCAGGCTGCTTCCAACTTTAGCCATCTAAGACCAGAGAAGGCAGCAGCTACAGCTTTTTTTCCTCTCAATAGAGCTCACTTGCAAAACTGGCTGGCAGTAGAGCATGATGGGAGGCTTGTAGCCCATGGAAACTATTCTAGCTCATTCTCAGCTGTCCTGGAAGGTTTTATATAGAAGGGAAAAGAGTTTTATGGCCAAGAGACCAAGACCAAGCTAGAGTAGGGGTATGGCATAGATTCAAGTATGCTACTACCTAGTGAAGCACCTAGCATGTTTATACTAAGGCCTTACCAACAGTAGTGATGGGCTTGGAGTAAGGTAACAACCCCCAGGTGTTGGAGGAGAAGAGGCCACGGCCATGAAAGATGCATGGAGCGAAGCCAATGTGCTTCTGAAACTTCTTCTGAACCCATCTTCCCCAGGAACCCTCCTCGAAGATCACCTGCTTGTACACTTCATTCTCCCCAAAGGAGTAGACAGGAACCAAGTCCGCACTAGAAAGAGGGAAAGATGTTAGGACCCTGCACCCCTGGTCTGCAGTCAATACCACAGCACCACACCTACTGCCATGTACTCTTTCAGGCTTCACATTTGCAGATTTTATTGGCCAGAGCTTTGTTTGCAGCGCAAGGCACTGACATAAGTCAGCCAGACTTGACATGATATAGTAGATATACTTTTCAAGGCATGCCAGAGAATTATACTGGCAATGGGCCCATGAAACACTACCCAGTCAGGCATTGAATATGCTTCCATATATTCTCATCTCTGATTTTTGATGGGCATCCCATTTCGGAAACATGGGATCCCTGGAGATCACAGGGGCTGCATAGGTGACGCCCCATGCAGGTTACTGACACCTGCCTCTCCTTGTCCTGGAAGCCTCCTGCTGGTCTAGGCATCTTCCTACGCCTGTCCCCTGCTTCAGGGGCAGAATCAGAGGTCTTTTCCAACCTTAATGATTCTATAAGATCATCAAGTCCAACCGCCAACCCAACACCACCATGCCCACTAAACCATGTCCCTCAGCACCTCATCTACATGTCTTTTAAATACCTCCAGGGATGGGGACTCAACCACTTCCCTGGGCAGCCTGTTCCAATCTTTAACCACTCTTTCAGTAAAGACATTTTTCCTCACGTCCAATCTAAACCTCCCCTGGCACAACTTGAGGCCGTTTCCTCTTGTCCTATCGCTTGTTACTTGGGAGAAGAGACCGACCCCCACCTCGCTACAACCTCCTTTCAGGTGGTTGTAGAGAGCGATGAGGTCTCCCCTCAGCCTCCTTTTCTCCAGGCTAAACAACCCCAGCTCCCTCAGCCGCTCCTCAGCAGACTTGTTCTCCAGACCCCTCACCAGCCTCGTTGCCCTTCTCTGGACACGCTCCAGCACCTCGATGTCCTTCTTGTAGTGAGGGGCCCAAAACTGAACACAGTATTCGAGGGGCGGCCTCACCAGTGCCGAGTACAGGGGCACCATCACTTCCCTGAAGTGATCCCTAGAAGCCAGAGGACAGGCTCATGTGTCTGATGCTCTGGGCATACATCCACACAACGCAGCAAGACGGCAGAAAGGAGAATCCATCCAAGACATCAGCTGCTTCAGGGGATAAGAGCACCTTTCATATGCTAGCAGTACTGCTCTAGCATTGAGGTCACCTCTTACCCGTGCCGTAGAGCCAGTTTCACAAATCCTTTCCGGTTTTTCAGTGTCACAGAGTTCTTCCCTGGGGTGCAGTTCAGGGACTCCGCTGCCCCTCCGACCACGATGATGATGGCATTGCCACTGCCGTTCTTGGACAAGATGTAGTCTATGCTGTCACGGTTCACAGGACATATACCTGCATATCCAAGAGACAGACATAAGCATCAAGCTGCAAGTCTAAGATGATCCTGAAGACACCAGCCATACTTGTAGCAAAAAGTTTGTGCCTTGATTGCAAGGTGAGTTGTCCAACTTCCCTGTGGTCATAGAGGGTTGGGTATCTTATCAGGCAACCCGTTCCTCAGCTAAACAAGCACGTAATAGACCTGGACAGCACTAGACTTGGTCACAGACAAATTCCACCAACACCATCTCTCAAAAAGTTGCCTTAACACGAAAGACTTCAGCAAGGATTTTCTTCTGTTCTTAGTGGTGCCAAAGGCAATTGTTTAAGACATCCTCCCTCCAAGTAAAGGTTGCAGTAGGAGATGGTTTATCCTTAGGGGAGAAGCAAAGCAATTGTGTTATTTTGATGCATGAGAGTCTAAATTTGACCAATTCCTCAGCAAAACCAGGTAGTGGAATAGGTCTTCCTTTAGAAGGCTAGTTTAGTGCTGAAAACTGAATAAATCGGCAAGCCTTCCAGAAGCAGATCTATTATGGATTAATTTAAAAAAATAGTTTTTCTGAACTAACGTCTCAAGCTCTTGCATGGTGAGAGTGCAATCCTTTGCTCTCCTGGGAAGGAATAGATGTATGGGACAGAGTGCTTAGGTAAGTCCATACTCTGAGATGAGTGTCTGGGAAGGTCTTTCTCTCTACCCCGCACTGGAAGGGGCAGGACTGTACTACCAGTCACAGCACTCCAGCTTTACAAAGCAATCCCTGCTCTAAAGCATCAGGCCCCACTCCAGGGATCTTACCATTCAGCTCAATGAAAGAGGCACCTTTTAATTTCTACTCTATTGCTCTAAAAAATGCAAAGAAGTTTGATCCTCTGCTCCTGAAACTCATGCTTTTATCCTACAGTTATTGTTGGAGCTTGCTCACACCTCACATTTTTGGCCAGGATAAGCCGAGAAGTGAGATGCCATCATTTACATTCCCATCCACACGTCTGAGCTGTGCTGGGTATTTAAGGTCATTGCACTAGGAAGGGCAGTATTACACAATTTAATTTTAGAAGCTGATTCTGCACATCTCATGGTAGTCCTCACTTAAACCAAGAACTAAATGATGAATGGGTCCCACAGGATTATACAGGGCAAGTCTGCAAGCGGGCATCAAGGTCACCACCTTATCCCAGCTCCAGACCACAGGGGAGCAGACCTCACTTGAGACAGATCAGCTGGATTTGAAGATGAAAAACTCATTTCTTTCAGCACAGCTATGTCTCTCCCTGACCGTGTTTCCTTTGAAAGGCTCAGGCTATGCTTGCTGCTCCGTAGGACAGACAGAAGCCTTCGTGCTTCTCCCATTCTCCACACCAAGGCTCACTCACTATGACTACACAGCCCTGGCTAAGAGGGCAGCACAGATTCATGTTCAGCCATTTAACACTTGTTAGCAGAAGATTACTACTGCCCACAGCACTGAAATCCTTCCTCCAGAAAATGCAACAAGACATGCAGACAAGTGGCAATCGCTGAGTTGTGTTCTTTAGCACATTTACACAGTATATAGGATTTTCTGGCCATCTCCTCATGCCTTAGAGGATCCCTGCTGTAGCTCTAGTCTCTAGTCGGCTATGAAACATTGTTATATGCAACAGTTGGTTCTAAACCAACTAAGTATGTGTACTGGTACAGTAATATTTGTTAGGATTTCACTTGAAATGGTTCATCCACAAAACAAAGGATTGAGGGAACTATCAGGGGGCGTCATTCCAAGTGATGTTAAAGCCTTTGCAGTGATACCTTAAGTTCCACTATAGGAAAGTGAAGACAAATTATGGCTTTCAGAAAGTTAACTTTGTCCGAGAGCTCACACCTATAGTCTTGCTTAAATCCTAAGTACAGAGGAAGCAGAACTTCCCACTGATTTACCTGTAATGCTCAGGGATAGCCAAGCCAGCCCTTCAGCAATGACCTTGCTAACGTCTACTCCCACCTTCCTTCCAAAAAGAGGGAAGCAGCTCTGGCTGGCTCCAAGATTTATCTACCAGTCATCTTGAGCAGACTGAACATGTTTTTTTAAAATATAGAGAGGCTGATGCTGCGTGCATCAGCCTCTGATGGGAGGCTGGTGCACTTAAGCAACACATGAACTAAGTTTACAGACACGATAGACTGGAAAACCGATCCCAACTTCTCGTGTACTGCTGTCTTGTGGAATTCCCAAATTATGGGAATTATGGACTCCACACAGCAACTTCCATCTGGTGCAAGAAGACAGAAACCAGCTTGAAATACTGCCCTTCCTAGGCAGGGACAAACCCCTTTTCTGCACTGGATCCAGTTAAGTTTTCCTCTCGCTCACCAAATTAAGGCAGTAATCTTGGAAACAGTCAAACCTAGCGAGTCAGAGCCAAGTACAGCTACTCCTATCCTCCCCAGCCATGAGTCAAGATTCAGCCAAAATACTATATTGATACCTGTTTTAAAGTCATTTATTGGTGAATCTGTGCCAGGAACAGCAAACAGGGTACTGGACTGTCCAATTCATGGTCTTTAAACATTACTCCCTCATCTCTACCTAACCAACGGGCATCCTCACCCTGAAAAGGAAGCTCAGGCCGTGCAAAAATACTGTTTCTCGAGGCTGTCAACACTGCTTCCTCTGCCCAGTCATAACCTACAAGCCCTCCATCATTAAAATACTGGAATCCATTAGAACAGACCTATTAATGTCATTCAGCAAACTTATATCACTGCCTATTCCCTGTGACCCATCTTTTCAGGGAAGGGGCTCTTCTGAATAGCTGAAACCACACAATACCCCAGACTCTTTACTCCTGGCAGGAACCTAAAAATGTGGTTGGGTGAAGAGGGCATCTGTCATCACCGTAAGACCTAGATGCGTGGCAGCTCATGTGGTAATGAGCCCAGGAGCAGAGCTAGCCATGGTATTCACATTTCAAAGGCTAATGAATACTTTATATTTTCAGTTAGCATGACTTCATCTACCGGTACCTCCTAATGATAGCTAGGACAACTTGCTCCCGTGTCTCCATCTTCCTCACCCACAACTACAGATGCCAGATATCTTTACTATGCCTTTGGACAAGAGTATCCTTGAGTTAAGGATGAATGCAGAGGAGCAGCAGTCTCCGCAGCCCAAGCTAGTCACATTTATTCACAGCTTCTTCCTGACAACTATGACAGCAATGTTTGTGTGATGCTACCAGAGACGTAGTTACGTGAGCTTCTCCCACATCTTTTCACTTGAAAGAGGGGAAGACAGCTCAGAGGCAACAGCATGAGTAGGAGGAACAAAGTGCTCTTGCACTTACCGCCAGACATTAAGTAGTCCCTCAAAATGGGCATCCTGAAGTTCCCAGCCAGGGTAGCAAGGTATGGTCGGATCCCAGGGAACTTCTGGCTGACGCCCGTGGCCTCTGTGCTGAAGTTGCAAAAGGCACCCAAGCCCATGATGCCATGTGGATGGTACCCAAAAATGTAATTCCTGGTGGTCAGCAGATTGTGGGTTTTAACCAGCTAGGAAAGAAAAGAGTGAGCTCACATGAAGACAGATCTTTTCAGGTAATAAGAAAAAAAAATGAAGAAAAGAAGTCAAAGTCCCCAGGTTTTGTCTCTCTTCCCACTAGGGAGAACAGCCTAAGAGCTGGAGTATGGGCTATCCTGGATTCAGAGGCTGCGGTAAGAGCAGGCACTTAGACTTCAGTTCCCCAAGCAGAGGGAGCCCAATAAACAGGCTGATCTTAGACACAAGACGACTGCCAGCCAAGCAGGAATAGGATTTGGGTCGCCGTAGCCTGTGCCCTTTGTTTCTCTACTCCTCCCAAAGGCGTTCTTGCAAGCCTCTTGCCCAAACCAACCAAGTTCTTCATGGCCCTGTAGCCACAGCTACGCCTCCTTCCAGGCCCTCTCTCAGCACATTAGTGGCTCACGTCCCAGTATGAGGAGGGAGAAAAAAAAAAATAAAAATCAGTGTCCCATAACAGAAGCAAGTTTGCTTAATACCTGAAAAAAGGCCCAAGCACTTAATATGCCTGCTGGCCGCCATCCAAGAGGGAAAATGTGCAGAAGGGTGGCTTACACTGGAAACTATCCCTCCTTTCAAGAGGTTTTGCTCTCGCCTACACGCCAAAGGGCCAATAAGACACCTCAAGCCATCCACAGCAGTGCTCCAATTTCTGCAGGACGTGCTCCAGGAACCGTGATCGTATTGGGTTGGGGTTGTGCAATATTCCCAACCATTTACTCATCTGTTTGCACAGCATGGACACTCCAAAGCTGTCTTAGCCATGCACAGCACAACCCATGCCCTGGTACCACTACTGCCAGCGGATTTTCTTGATGCTGTAAGTAGCAGCAGTGTCCCATGCATCAGAGCATCTTCCCCTGGCAGTACACAAGCGGTCGGAGTAAGCATACAACAGGACTGCTGCATCACCCTACAGAAGCAGAGATCAGTTTTAATTTTTCAGGCCTCAATGGCACGAGTTTTTGCTGACTGCAACACCCCAGCAGCTCTCAGACCGGGACATGACCTACAAGCCCCAGTTGCACCTTCAGCATGAGGTGTTAAACAGCTGCACCCCATCCCTCAAACTGTATATGCAAAGGTCACTCTGTCAGCTCCTATAGGAAAAAGCGCACGTTTCCAAGACGTCACACCAGCATTACATACCCCGCCGTCTTGGCCAAGAAGTGCTTTGGCAGTAAGCGAGCGAGTCCGTTTTGTTGAATCATGCTACAGGGAGCTGAAGTGCCATTGCGACACACTGAAGCAGCGTGCCCAGAAATTCGATTCCCTCCTCCCCACGTTCCCACCACTGTCCCTGGATGAGTCTACAGCACTTGTGCTATTTAAGACAGCAGCTGCAATACACACATGACACAGCAGTGGGTTAAGCAAGTTGATTACCCCTCTCCACGCTTTCCTCTAGCTTTGAGGTCACGTAGGGCTCCGGGAAGCATGTGCAGATGCTTGTCGTTGCAGCAGCTCTGTAGAGCCCCATGGCCTGTGTCACACTGAGTCATCCTTTCTCCCCTTCCCTTTCTTGCCCAATTAGTAGATGACTTTGCTTTGACTCCCCAGGGTGGGAGGGCTGTCCCTTGACCAATTAGGACAAACAGGGCTCCCAGACTACAGACTGGAAACCACTCTCCAGGAAAGACTGGAGGGGGAAAAAAAAAAACAATGATGTGGTAAGCCACCCCTCCATCTGTCAGCTCTTGCTCAGTTGTAGGAGATACTCGAGGCTTGGTGGCTACAGGCACACGTGGCTTGGTTGGACCAGTGGCAGACACTCCTCCTTAGAGCTCTTGTCAGAGCAGGGTGGTGGTTTCCAGGCTCCAGGCCTCATCCTTCACCTGCACCAAGCATAGCTGCTTTAAAAGGAAGCCGGTTGAAACAGAGGGTTTGTCCTTGGCGCTCTGGAGCATGAGGCATTTGTGAGCTGAGCTTGGCAGAGCCACGCATCTGCTCTCATACAGAAAACATGCTGTTCTCCTGCTGCCAGCCGTGGCAAGCACCCTGCTCCAGCCCCTCCACCACGTGCAAGGACACCCAGTTCCCAGTGGAGCCCGTTGCTTGCATACCTTGCACGAGCCCCAGCCAAGCTGCGGCCTTATCGCTCTGTGTTTGCTTTCCAAGACCTCCTGTTATGGAGGCATAGGGTTGGTGATACCCACCACGCTCACCCACACCACTTGCACAAGTAGTGCAGGCGCAAGGCAAGGGGTATGCAGGGAACCAACTCACCCGCGCACCCCGCCCACGGCAAGGCAGGAGGGGAATATCTGAGCAGCACTGGAGACTCATTGAGAATCAGATGCTCACAACGGGGATTTACAGGTCTGAGAGTCAGCCCAGTATTCATATATATGTGCTTTTCCCCAGTTTGTGCCATGCAGGCTGCCACTGCCCTCCACTCGTTGTCCCACAACGGATGGGTTCACAGAAAGTGAACATGTCTTCCTCCACCCGAGTCAAGCCAGGGCAACCAAAGACTGCCAGGTATCAGAGAGGTTTGTGCACTTATCTGCAAGTGGTGCAGGTCTTAGATCTGCTAATGCATAAACTCAGCCCAGGGTCTGGCCTGCCAACACCAAAGGCAGAGCCTTCATGTCTCCCTACATTTAATCTAGAAGCAGGAGTTTTTGAAGTGCTGTAATCACTTATTTCTAGTCTCAAGCAAGACTGAAGCTTTCCTTAGGAGGCTGATCACTCACTACTAGTTTTCTTGCACCTTTCCCCTTGACAAGCAAATACTGAGCTGCTGGGCTGCCTTATCAGGTTGGCCTAAGGAATTGCTGTAGCTGTCATTTGACAACGCTTTTGCAACTCTGTTCTGAACCTCCAACAGGTTTTTCCTTTTGCCTTCAGGGTCTTCTCCAGTCCCACACAGCCCTCAGCTCCTTGAAGCCTCGGTGCTCCCATGATGAGACAGGGGCAGCGTGTCCTTGCTGCATCCCAGCTGGATGATTGCAGTGCTGGGCCCGAAGCTGGACCTTCACCCCACTGCACGAACACGCCTGTTTCCCAGCTGCTGTCTGAGACCAAACCTGTTTCAGCGGGAGCAAAGGTCCACCCATCTGCTCTAGCAATAACAGAGACTTCTTTAAACAGATCTAAGGCTGCCTACAGAAGCAATAAAGCAGTGCAATTATAGTAAAAACTAGCGTTAACATTTCAGTGCCAGATACGCCCAAAGAACAGCATCGCCAATTTTATTTGTAGGAACAGAATGAGTAAGTAGCGCATTCAAGTGTGGAGAAAGGGGACTGCAGAGACACTGCTGCTCAGCACCAGGAGCCAGCAAAGAGCAGGGTGAAAATGAGTGGTCTAGGTGGGTGCTCAGCCTACCTGCAAGCTGAGCAGCACGGTGACCACAGAGGCATGTGGAAAGCAGAAAGTTAGAGCTCATCCTGCAGGATCCCAGCAGCAGGAGTGAGCGTATAAGCTTGCAAAACAACTGAACAATTGCAATTAGTAGCATCACACCCAGAGGCGCAATGGAAGAAATTATCTCACCTTCCCAGCAATGCAGGCCAGGACCTGAAGACCCCTCTAGGCTCTCAGTATTGCCACTACACTACATCACACATAGGAAGCAAAAGCCTCCATTTCCATTCTGTAAGTCATCTACAACAACAACTAAGAAGCAGCTTTTCCAGGAAGCCAGCCAAGCCACACAGCGCAAGACAAACACTGCAAAAAAAGTCACTGTCTTGCAACAGCCCCTGCTCTGGCCCACGGCTGACACTCCCATCTCAGCAGGAGACCGAGAACATCTCACAGCACACACCTGAAATGCTCACTCCTTGACAAAGGTGAGCCAAAGGTCTGCAAGCCCTTGCTATCTGAAGTGCTATTGCCTATGGAGATAAGCAGTAGCTGTGCTCGCATGCTCAGGTGATGGCTTCTTTACCTAAACAAGACTTTAGATTGTGGCACTCCCCACGTGACATCCTCAGATCAGGAGGATGTGCTCGGGAGGCTGCTGGGACCTTGCCTGCCTTTGGAGCAGCAGGGTCGAGTCCAGCCAGGCACACAGCACCATGCTCACACCTGCAAGAGCTCAGGCCTTGCCTGGCAGTTCAGCACCAGGATTTAGCTCACTGGAAGCTTCCTCAGCTGCTTCATGCACTCTTAGCTTAAAGCACTATTTGCGAGGCCAGCCACTAAGTGGTAACCTTAAGCTTCTAGTGCCCTAAAATAGCTTATTACTGTCAGAGCAGCTGCATGAAGCCCCAGTGAACGTGGACAACCTCTGCTCATGCTGAGGAATTGAACCAGATCCAGGCTGGTTCCCAAATCCACCTGGTATTACAAAACATGACCTGGTATCTCTAGATACAGGTACAATAGTCCTACTGGTGTTTCAGGATGGGAGGCACTGCTGGTGGAGACCAAGCCTAATCATAAATATCAGAGCAGAGCCTGCTTCTCATGCAGCTCCTCTTGATAAGGCAAGCCTGATGCCAGCAGGTAGAGCTGTGGAGGGATGCAGCAGATCCACAAGTTCTAACGTACAGCTTTGTCAGAGGTCGATACTGGTGGCGTTTCAGTCTGGCCAGATCCAGCCTGCATCCTCAAGATCGAGCTCACACCAGCTTGGTACGAGGAAACCCTGGCCTTCAGATCTGCAGCCACTGAGGACAGCATACTAAGAGGCCTCCCCTCCAAAGTCTTGAGCGCTACAACTGTCACACACTGGGAGTTGGCTCCCTAATCCTGGGGAGGTGGCCTTACGATTTTGGGGAAAAAAAAAATCTGCAAAACTGCTTCCTATTTATTGCCTGGAATAGGAGTAAAACCTGAGCTAATATCCTAATGCAGGTGGTACCTATGGTGCTATGCATGCAGCTAGCACAGCTCTAGGTGCAGTTTGCAAAAACTGAGTTTAGCTTTACAAGTGTCACTGGTGAGATTGTCACTGCTGTGATCTGCCTTTGCAGTGCTCAGTGGACACACGGCACAGGATGAGGTGCAGCAGGTGACCACCCCAACAAACCACAAGCCAGGGAGACAAACCGACCTCTGCTAAGCCTTTACACGGACAGTTCAGGATCCAGTCAAGGTGAATTTTGCAGACAGAAGATTTAAACAAGTGGCCATCTCTCGACCAGTCTCCCTCTTGACTGGAGACAGGTAGATAGCTTATCCAAGGAGTTCCCGTCCTCTTTAGCAAGTTCCAGCCCAAGCTGTTCTGGTGGTTGGCACCTCTCCTTACAAGAGATAACATTTATGCCCATAACTGCAGACAACCACCTCTAGCACCTCACAGCACCATGATCCCTGTAGCAGCTTTTAACAAACACGCAGCCAGCTGGCTGTTCCCCCATAGCAGGTGCAGGAGTTACCCCACAGCTGTCAACTCTCATCTGCTGCCCTTTGCGTACCATTTACCAGTGGGCTCTGTAAACCTTGCACAGCTCTACCCCCTCAGTGACAAAGGAATTACAGCCGTAAGGGGTTCTCACAAATGGACTGCGGGAGCTAGCAAGTATTTACCTAGAACAGCAGAGATGTTCAGTTTATCTACCCGATCTTGTCTCTAAACCTACTTGAACAAACCACCTGTTTGACAAGCTTCTAATATCTACAGTAGATCTGACCCACATGGCCGGTGCGGAGCATGTTTCCATGAAGACAGGGAAAGGAGAGGTGAAACAAGGGGACCAGCCATTACTGGTGACCCTCTTGAATCAAGTCCCCAGGAGAAACTAGCCCATTTTAGCCTTCAGCAATATCAAGAAGGCAGGGTTTATTGCAGTACTGAGGACTTGGTACTAGAGGACAACCTATCTGAGACCCTTCAACACTAGAGCATGCTCTGTTCTCCATTAGCTACGAGTCCTGGGTTGACCACCCACTTGCAGCCTGTGCAGTTGTAGTGTATTTTTCCATGTACACCTACATTTGCCAAGAATTACCTGTTAACAGCAGCAAGAATGTGGCAGGAGGGTTCACCAGCAGCATGTTCAGGCACCCGGAGAGTTCGAGTGACTTTGCAAAGGAGGAATCCAGTCTACGCCACTTTGGCTTCCTACTGGAATTGGATTCCCTACTGCCTTCTGAGGCTGGACTATCTTAGGGCAGGGTGGCTCATCAAAAGCCATGGCAAGCTCCCTGCCTTTTGCTAAGGCTGAATAAAACTTGCCAACAGCCTTACATAATAGTCCTTTCAGCTGCGTGTCCTTCCAGAGAGGATCGAGTTCCCTCCTTGCTGAATTTGGCCCCTGCTCCCTTCCAAGTCCTTCAGCTAATTCTGCAGTCCCCAGAGCAGACTGGCAGCCCTGTCCTCTGTCTGCAAGACATCTGAACTAGCAGGGAAAATACAAACAGAAGGTGCGCAAGTTAAAAGCTGGAGAACTGGAGCTATTCCCACTGCTGGAAACCCCCCTTCCCCAAAGCAGGTAGACTTCAGAGCTGATTTCACTGCTCCCTGTGAGGTGGTAGGACTTTTGGTGCACAGAGTTCGCAGCTAAATACACTGCTGCCCTAGGGCATAACTGGAAAACAGACCAAAACTGAGCTAGATTTACAAGAGGGGAACAGAGGTAGGGCTCGGCACAACACAGGACTGCTGCAGCACAGAAGAGAAGTTGGAGAGATGAACAGGGAGCCTTACTGCTACAGGGCAGATTGCCTCAAGAAATCCGGTCATAAGACCATCAGAAGCAGCAGCTTCTACAAATCATGATACCATCACTGGTGATGCATTTCAGATTTTATAACCACAGCTGCTCCAAACAGTAGAAGGCAATGGTAAGTAAGCCATACCCTGCTTACGGTTCAGTGTCATGGATAGACTAGTGCAGGTACAACATCATTTCCACAGCAGTTATTACAAGTCAGTCAGTCTAAAACAGTTAAGTCCCAATGCATAGAGTTAAACTGTTACTTACTCTTATTGGAAAATAATCCCTGAAGTACCTCCATATAGCCCAGTTTCTCACCCATTGAGATCTTCTTCCACCTGAAGAGAAAAAAAAATGATCATGTTTTTAAAGCTCTTTCCACATGGGTGCCCACCAAGAAGCCTAGAGGACTCCAGATAGCTTGTTGTCTCACTAGAGGAATCAACAATTTCATTCCTCTAAGTGGGACACCTGCATCTTTCACTAAGATCAGGTGAAACCATCCATGCTCAGCACTTCAGGGTACTTCAAGCTAATTAAGGCCTGACTACAAATTCAGGGTAGGATCCGACTTGATAATCTGTTGTAGTAGGGCAATGGACAATTCAAGCTAGAAACAGCTCGATGTTAACCTCAGATTCATCCTTTGGGAAAGGCCAAGATCCTGGATGATTTCAGTGGTCTTGAAGCAATGGAGAATTGCGCTAATCTGGCTGCGAAAGGAGTTGCCATCAAAGCTCTTTGCCATTGCTGTAGCGGGTTCTCAGAGCTGGTTTCTACAGGGTGTTCTCTGAAATAAGGTTTTCTGCTTTATTCGCAGCAACACTGACTCCAAAGGGGAGCCACATCTTAATAGTCACGCCATAATCTGAACCTTATGAGAGCTGGAGAGGACAGCAAGATCTCGAATCTTTACGTAGATCTTTCTGACCTACAGGAAGAGCCTAAGCCTTATAAATATGTTGCTAAAAGCCAGCAATGGCATGATATTAGTGAATGTTATCTTGTATTACCCTCAGCATCAATAAAACCTGCAGTCACTGCTTCTGCCGAGGGCTGACATTTGTGTGCTTCACTGAATAATGCTTTCGGTCAGTGATTCAGCCAAGTCCCACTAAGAAGGGAAGTCACCCATTATAAGGAAGTGCTTTGTTGTCCAAATATGAGGACAGAGACACTTAAACAGCAAGGATCTATGCTGCAATATTTACCTTTCTTTGGTGTATTCCAGTCAAATACCAGCCAGGCTAAATATAGAGCAGCAATCGCCCAGCAATCTGTGCACAGTATGTACATGAGGATTAAAGTGCAAGCAACACCTGGATAGGTCCAAGAAAGAGAAGAAAACAAGGTTGCATCAGGTTTTGGTCTGCATTTACACTTGCATTAAGAGCCCCTTGCCTTTTGACCCTTCTATACTGAAGTCTTAGTCTCAATCTGATGTCATTAATCCTCGATCAAATCGGATTTAGCTAAAAACCCCTTATGTAGGACTGAAACAGCTTCCTCCAAAGCTACCTGCTTTGAAGTACCTCAACCTCCCCCTTCATGGTTTCTCCAGGTCTCTCTTCTGCAATATCTCCAGGTAGGGCAGCTGCCTCACCAGGCAAGAGCAAGACTTCATGAGCATCAAGATTTCTTTGTGGCCCACACCAAGGGGGTTTCTTCCACAGCTACACAAGTCTTCCACTCATTACACCAGCTTTACGCCAGCCATCCCACCAGGGTGCCAGAGGTCCCACCCACAAATGATGTTGCCGTTTTAGCACAAACTAAACTGGGAAGGAACAGAGAGACCTGCTTGACTGACTGAAATCAGCATCTTTCTCCAGTTTAATTATCAACAATATTATGGAGCAGAGCAGCCTGAGGCTTCACATTCCCGTCAAACGCCAGAGGGACGGGATGCCATCCAGAGGGACCTGGACGGGCTCGAGAAGTGGGCCCGTGTGAACCTCATGAGGTTGAACAAGGCCAAGTGCAAGATCCTGCACCTGGGTCAGGGCAACCCCCGGTATCAATACAGGCTGGGGGATGAAGGGATGGAGAGCAGCCCTGCTGAGAAGGACTTGGGGGCACTGGTGGGTGAAAAGCTGGACATGAGCCGGCAATGTGCGCTCGCAGCCCAGAAGGCCAGTCGTATCCTGGGCTGCATCCAAAGCAGCGTGGCCAGCAGGTCGAGGGAGGGGATTCTGCCCCTCTCCTCTGCTCTGGTGAGACCCCCCCTGGAGCACTGCGTCCAGCTCTGGGGTCCTCAGCATGAGAAAGACACGGACCTGTTGGAGCAGGTCCAGAGGAGGGTCACGAAAATGATCAGGGGGATGGAACACCTCTGCTATGGAGAAAGGCTGAGAGAGTTGGGGTTGTTCAGCCTGGAGAAGAGAAGGCTTTGGGGAGACCTTATTGCAGCCTGTCAGTACTTAAAGGGGGCTGATAAGAAAGATGGGGACAGACTTTTTAGCAGGGCCTGTTGCGACAGGCCAAGGGGGAATGGCTTTAAACTAAAGGGGGTAGATTCAGACTAGATCTAAGGAAGAAATGTTTTACGCTGAGGGTGGTGAAGCCCTGGCCCAGGTTGCCCAGAGAGGTGGTGGATGCCCCATCCCTGGAGACATTCCAGGTCAGGTTGGACGGGGCTGTGAGCAACCTGCTCTAGTTGAAGATGTCCCTGCCCACGGCAGGGGGGTTGGACTAGGTGACCTTTAAAGGTCCCTTCCAACCCAAGCCATTCTGTGATTCACATAACAGAAGCACCCAGAGACAAACAGTCTTTGCTGTTTTACTGGTGTAACACAAACACTTCTTGCCCATCTCTGGTACCTCTTGGAAGGAGAGCAAGCCAAGAGGAAGGCACTCCTGTTGCAATCAATTGCATCAGTTACCAATTGCTTCTAAGAAATTTCTTCTCTGTGGACATTCCCATGAGTAAGTCAGGCGAGACATTTCCAATTGCTTCGGTCTTATTTGTATGGGAGACACAGACATGAGCTAAACACCAGTAGGTCTTTCCGTAGCTCCTATGTTTTTCTAGAGCCAGGTAAAGTCATTTATTGCCAAAATATCAAAGTGTGCAAGTGTGCTTTATAGTATCCACACACCCCAGGAACTGCCCTGCTGCAGTGCACATCCAGTAATTAATGCTTATGTAAAATTAACATTTTTGCATTAACATCTTCCAGAATGAAGAAAAAAAGCTTTGCTTTTGGCCAAAAGGTGTTACTTACCCATGATAAGGAAAGTGAGAACCCATTGCAGCACAGAGATGATCTGGAGTTGTTTCTCTACTTTGGATTTAGATAGCCAGAACAAATCCTGCAGAGCAGAAAGAATGCTCGATCCTGTGCCTAAGGAAAAAAAAAATTGAAATAAAGTTACATTTGCACACTGAGCAAAGATTTTCCTTTCAAAGAAATGGTTTTAAATCAATGTTCATGCAGTTTGTTTTTACAGCAAGGCTTGTCAAAGGCTAATACTTCCCATGGAGTTTCAGCATCCCTGAAGGGGAAGGGTTGCTATCTGCAAACGTCCAGCTGTTTGGGGGATGCTGGAGGGGATTGATGGGTAAACGTCAGTTCCCACCTAAGCAAGCCTCTATTCACTTGACCATAAAAGTGCAGAGGACATTAACACGTGGTCCTAACACACCCCCCCGGCTTCAAGCTGCCGGTTCCTGGAAGTGGTGTTTGATAACAGGGAAACCCATGAGCTCGACGTAAGGTGAAGATGAGCTGTCCCCAACCGCAGGCAAGCACACGCCAGGCCGCGGTCTGCACTGCTGCTCATCCACCCTTCACCGGGTCACCTTGCACAGCTCCCGGGTGCGTGTCCAAGGAAAGCTCTGCACTCCGGCCTTACGCAGCACGGCCTGAGGGCTGGTTGAGCAACACCTCAACCCACCACCCCAGGGATCCACAGCTCCAAGGGTAAGGAAAACCACCACAGTGTTTCTAAGTAATAAATGAGGAAGGAAGGAGTTGAAAGCCACCCTTAGAAGCTTAAGCTATTCAAGTGGGGAGAGACCCAAGTAAAATACTGAAGTGAAAGGCTTGATTTCTGTATGAGGAACCACTCACTGCAGCATTTGCTGATATGCTCCACAACCTCAAGAAAGAAGCACTTGCAAGTGCATTTTCCATCACTTCTCTTCATTGCTTTATTTCACAAGCACCATAACAACTGGCTAAAATGCAAATCAAGCTGCTGGCCTATGAACAAACTGGGAGGTGTGTTTACATATTCCCTTTTCTGTTTAAGGATCAGCCTGTTATTAGAAGGGATGCGATGCTGCTAAGCAGCTATTATTGAATGAGGTCAGTCCTTGCTGTTGCTGGCAAGGCGTGACACTGCTAATGGTGATACCATTGCAAGTGCTCACGCTTAGTCGAATGAAAATCTGATGGAGAAGAGCCTCTTCTCTAGATATAGGCAGGTACTAGAGTTTTGGTTGTTTCCACAAAGCAGGTTTCACTAATGCGTCCTTTAAATATGCAAAGCACCTTTGCAGTCTTTACTAGCTCTTGCCCTTGCTGATAGTCTAGGCAATAGGATTAACGCACAGCAGCTGCACCTGCAGAACTGTTTATTAGTTTTGCAGCTTCTTTGCTGCCCCCCTTTAAATGCCATTTAATGTTAAGCTGGTGCATGGTCCCTAGGACTGACAGCTACACGCCTTCCTGAGCATCTCTGCTAGTGAAGGACATCAGCCAGGAGCCACACCAGACCCTGCAGCCTAAATCTAGAGCCAGCCCACCCAGCCTAGACCCTTGGCTCTGCTTAGTCTATGTTGAATGAACAATCCTCGCAATGGGTTGGGCATTAACTACTCCAAGCAGAACAAGTTTTGGTCAAGGATAGATCATGATAGATCACAGCCCATCCAAAGCAGCGTGGCCAGCAGGTCGAGGGAGGGGATTCTGCCCCTCTGCTCTGCTCTGGTGAGACCCCCCTGGAGCACTGCGTCCAGCTCTGGGGTCCTCAGCATGAGAAAGACACGGACCTGTTGGAGCGGGTCCAGAGGAGGGTCACAAAAATGATCAGGGGGCTGGAACAGCTCTGCTATGGAGAAAGGCTGAGAGAGTTGGGGTTGTTCAGCCTAGAGAAGAGAAGGCTCCGGGGAGACCTTATTGCAGCCTGTCAGTACTTAAAGGGGGCTGATAAAAAAGATGGGGACAGACTTTTTAGCAGGGCCTGTTGTGACAGGACAAGGGGGAATGGCTTTAAACTAAAGGGGGGTAGATTTAGACTAGATCTAAGGAAGAAATGTTTTACGCTGAGGGTGGTGAAGCACTGGCCCAGGTTGCCCAGAGAGGTGGTGGATGCCCCATCCCTGGAAACATTCCAGGTCAGGTTGGACAGGGCTCTGAGCAACCTGATCTAGTTGAAGATGTCCCTGCCCACGGCAGGGGGGTTGGACTCGATGAGCTTTACAGGTCCCTTCCAACCCAAACCATTCTGTGATTCTATGTCACTGCAACTGCCGGTAAACTGAAACCTACAGCCCTAATCCAGTGTGAAGCAGCAGCTCAAGTTGAAGGCAGGTCTTTACAGGATAACATAGTACTTGCTGAATTCACTCTTAATACTGTAAGCATCTCTCCAGTTTCTGAGATGAGACAGGGCAACATGCTGATGAGTTAAACCACCACTGATTTGCAACACTGGAGTACCTAAGCAGGAAGAGTCAGAAATCCCGTGCTGCAGCTCTTCACATTTGACAGTAAATGCCCGAATTTGGAGTGAGTGATAAACTCCACCCCATTTTTTAAAGCCTCTGAATCACCTGACCAAGGGTAAGAGAAGTCCGTCCTTCCGGGGCCACAGCCTAGGGGCAGCCTCTACTGCAGCTCTAGGAACTTGCTGTCCCAAAAACCTGGTTTACAAAATTGCACGTGGACAGACCTCATGTGGCCTGAGAACTGCTAGATACTAGTTTAAAGGAAGCTTTTAGCAATAGTGGTGTCACTGGCCGTATCTCTATGCCCTCAAAATAAGCCAAAAGTCTTAGAGATTATTTGTGATCCATAATAGAAGTCCAGCCCCATGTAATTTATCCTTCCAGCACCTGTAGTTACACTAGAAAAACATCTTTGGATTGATGAATCCAACACTCCAGCCTTGGATCAGCTAAATCCCCAACCTCTTCCCCAAAGAGAACAACTGTTTAACCCTCCAGATGAGAATTTGTACTTCAGCATTTTCTAGATGCTTTAACAAATCGTAGGCATTGCTAGCCCTGTAAATAGACCAGTATTGGGTAGCATGAGTCAACCTGTCAACTTGTTTCCCGAACTGCTTTAAGCTTTTTTTGTGGCAACGTTCAACTCTTGCAGACAGAGCGCGGGCCCAGGTTTGGCAGGCAGCTCTGAGCAGGCAGCTGAGCACCTGCCCTTGGACAAGTGGTGTCCTGGGTCAGTTATTTGCTGAAAGCAAAAACATCCTTCACAGCGATCAAGATCCCCAACACCCGAAAAGCCAGTAGTTGCCACAGGCTGAATAATCTTAACATTTAATTCCCAGTTAAGGACACAAAAGAAGTCCGGTGGCAATGGAAAGGACTGTGGGAAAGGGCAGAGGTGTCACCTGGCAAGTGCATCTGCCCGTGCATGGTCTTACCTTTGCACCAACAACCTGCACACTCCAGACAGAGCCAGAGCATCAACTGCAGGCTGGGCAATTACAGATTTTAGTGCAGAGACAGCTATTTCCAGCCAGTCCTGAGCTTGCTGTTCATCACGTCAGACTATTCAACCCTCCATGCAAGCCTTGCCTCCTTTCTCCTTCAGCTGTAGTAGCCAGGAGGCATTTTTGGGAAGACCCTCCATGCTCTGGAGAACCAGGCCAGTTACTGGTGACAGAGCAGAAGGGCTTTGACAAGTCAACAGAAATGCTTTTTTGGGGGGACTCAGCCACAACAGAATAACCCGACACTGATACTGGGTTCAGTTCTTTAAAGAAAACCCTTCCTTTTAAGGGCCCACACCAAGCATCCTTCACGTATTAAAAACCCAAAGGAGAATTAAGCATAGGAAAGGCAATTTCTCTAACTTTCAGGGAATACGTTAGCCTAATAGCCAAGTTTAATAAGGCCCATTAGACATACCTATAAACTTTGAGGCGAAGGATACTGCACACCCCAGCCTTTGGTACCCACTTGTATCAGTCTTTTCTCAACGAAATATTTTGAATCCTGGAGAAACACAGACCTCCTTCTACTGCTGAAGACAGTTGCTTGTCACGTGCTGGCCACCCAGCGCAGCCCCTGGAGTGTTTTCCAGTTGCTCGGTTTTCCGGGGCACCTGTTCCAGAACTGGACAGCCTGGCTGTTTGGGGTCACAGCCTTCGCAACCCATGTCTACACAGTAGAGATCTTAGCGACAGCTTTCCTGGTCTCAGATGAGATCCTGAGCCCCTCAGCTTACACTGCAGCTCATGCCCTGGAGTATTGATGCAGGGATACCGCCTGCACTAAGCCACGCGTGGCTCTCAAGGATGCAACATCGCCAAGACAAAGAGGGACTTCTCCAGGAGACCTCACTGCTGCTCAGTGACAGCGGCCATCTGCAGCCTTCCAAGGAAGCTCAGTGACATTAGCCAGCTGTCCCCCAACCGGTGATGGGCTTAGTACACTATTTTAATTCCAGCAGCCATCAGAGTCAAGCGCAAGAGATGCTACCGAGGAGATCCTGTGATCAATGAAGGGTTTGACCAAGCATCTGACTCATGCCTGCAACACAGACTCAGCTAGGGACAGCATCTGGTGCGCTTCCAGCACAGTTAATTTCAGATAAAGTGCTCAAACACCATGATTTACCTAGGCAGGGAGGCAGACCCAAAGGTCCCAGAAGAGGAAGGAAACGGGACTTCACATTTGGACACCAGAAAACCCAATCCGCAGCACTTAATTAAAAAGCAGTCAAATAAATTAGCTGAGAGGAAGCACAAGTGTTACAGACAGTTAAAAATACACTGAAAGCTTGTTAAAGCCAAGCTTCATCCGCTACCTTTTCGAGACAATTAGCGTATTAATTCTTGGCCAAGAATTATACTGCATCACGCAGCTTATTTAGATGAAAACCGAATTAGATGTAGTATAGCTAAGCCCCTCCAAAGCATAAGGTGCAAATGGACCTTTTGAGCTACGTATTTGGCAGAGAAGCTGACGCTGGCGGCATAACGAAACTAGATTAAACAGACCAATACTAGGATACTTGTGAGGACCCAGCCTCCCATCCAAGAGCAGGAGTCCGCACGGCAAGCTGCTACATTAAATGTGACATCTGTAAAACCCCTTGAGCAACCCAAGTTATCCTGTGCCTAGCTTTACTCACATGCCCCAGCTGGAGTGCACAAGCTCTCTCCACTTCCAGCTTTGTTGTTAGTGGTACTAGACAGCGGATCATTTGTTAGAGAATAACTAATTACCAGCGTGGGGTATAGTTATCCTGCCCCGTACACAGCTGTATAGCAGGTTGCTCATGCCCCAGGAGACTACCTAATAATCCCGTCTTATCTGCAGTAAAGAATGCCTATGACTGGAGGTCAACAACATAGTTAACAGGGACGTGGGACAACAACATTTATTTCAGCCCCCTTAGAAAGGAGCTGGGATTCTGCTTAGCAAATAAACAAATTTGTTATGACATTTATCTTGCGGTAGATCTGCATTTACTCGCAGCACTGAACTTGGCCTTCGGTCTCAACAGTCACAGCTGTATGTGGGTTAAAGAGAGGTAACCATGAGGGTAGACCCAGCCGTCCTTGACCAGTCAACAATTTTAGATTTAAGTCAGCAAGACTTAATAGTTCTAGGGGAACCATCTTACTATATCTCATCGGTGTGCCCAGGGGAGGAGTGTAGGAGCTCTAAAAGAAGGGCTCAGTCATAAGCAAGTCCAGACCACACCTCCCAGGCAGTTTTGTCAAGAGGAGACACTACAACACAGCTAGCAGTGATGCCGTACTCCCAACACGGGAGCCCCCAGGTCCCCCGCAAAGCAGAAGTGAGGTCTGCCAAACCTCAGCTGCAGCATAATATTAACTCCAAGGTAAAGCCGAGTGAAATCATCTTCCTCACCCCAAACTATTCTACAGTTTTGTCGCACGTTGCGGAAGTTCGATATTGCCTAAAGCTTTTCACCACAGTCCAGCCAAAACAAAGGAGAGAAGTAGCTTCTGTAAGATGAAACGAGATGAGAAAAGAGACTTCAAAGGACAGCCCTTAAATGCTCTGGCCACACCAGCATCCTTCCGCAGGAGCGTGGAGCACCTCCTTGCTGCTCTGCCAAACACAAGGAGGAGAGCGCCTGGACAGCCTATAGCCGAAGCGGGTCAGGTCAAGATGAAGAGACAACAACCCCTCCTACCCAACCAAAGTGTCTCACAGCATCATCCCATCCTAGGCATTGGTCCAAGGTCTGCTCTGATTTTTGCAATACTGGGTTGGTGTCCAAGAAAGTTCCCCTGCATACGCACAGGGATGGATAGAGAGGCAGATGCCTGCACCTTTTTTTTTTCTTTCTTGTTTTCAAATAGGATCAGACTTTCAGCCAAATTCAGCCAAATTCACATGCACTGGGACAAAGCCAGACGCCAGGCAAACAAGACGACTGGAGACTAAAGGACAGTATGAGCCATTCAGACCCTCACCCCACAACAGTCAGCCCTTTGCACAGGCAAAGACTGTGGACCCTCTAGAAAAGTCTAGTGGGTTTGTTCTAAATATCCCATGTAGTGGGGGAAGTTATCTAACATGACCAAGCAGCACGTGAGGTCCCGTGCATGACCCGCTGCACCACATCGCCTCTGCCCATCTTTGATCTGCAGGGTCCCACGCCATCATCCCCAAAGCCCAGACCAAGTCGGAGCTCCTCTGGCAGGCACCCGGCTTTTGCCTTGAACAGGCAGGCTCTGAAGCTGGTCCTGCATTTTGTTACCCGTGACAGGCTACGGAACTGGCAAGGGGTTGCGTTGGTGGATGCTGCAGTCGCCAAGGCAACATCTCCCGTCTCCCTGGGCAGAAGCACATGAAGAAATGAGTAAGGAAGCACAAATATCACTGCAGGACCCCCACGAGGTGCCTCAGAGGAAAACTGACCTGAGGAGAGTTAAGACAGCTTTCCATCGCTAAGCAGGATTATCTAGAGATGAGGCCAATCACTGTCCCTAAACCACACTCCATTTTGAATTATGCACGTGTCCTAGATCCATTATTAACATGCCAGCACCAACAAGGTGGCCACTGAGGTCTCGGGTCAGCCCTACATATTTTATAGGTCTCCTGAATGATTTATTCTCTGTACTTGGCTTACAGTTAACTCTCAATTTAATAGTTCACATGCTGTTAATTTAAATGACCTCTCTCAACTCAAAACATCGCTTGGCATCTTGCTAGTTGTACAAACAAGCTAATTTACTTTAAGGACCAGAGCTGAGCATGGGAAACGCACGCAGATCTCTTCCCCAATTGGTTCACAACCGATCCTACAGATCCATCCAGTATCGGCAGGTGCCACATCTTTCTGACAGAGATGAGCACCAGCAGCTCTACATGCAGGACTGGGCAGGACACTGTGCGAAAGCAAGAGCTTAGGGGTTAATTCACCAGGTTCAGGTCCTCTTAGCTCTGCTAAAGATTTGCTTAATCAACAAGCCATTTCACAGGTCGCTTCATCCCAGGAGGAATTATCAGTTTGCTTTTTCAGGGCAGAAGGCCTTTTGCAACACAGACAGAGCGATCACTCAAGGACCCTCCACAAGGCACAGGGTAAATTGTGGTCCAAGTGCATTTTCCTGCCAAACCCCTACTGTTCGCAAGTCCTGACACTTCTCTAGACAAGCACCCTTGCAGGAAGGCTCTACCAAGCAAATATTTAGACTTGTTGAATTTATTCCTGCGAGATCCCTAGAGCGGGTTTTACAAGCACGCAAGGGAGCTTGCAGTTTGGGATTTCCCATATTGTCTCTCCAACATCTTTAACCTACATGTTTCAGCCTGCAGCAGGAAGCTTTCAGTGTCTGCAGCAGCTCTGCCCATGATGGGTGTCAGCCACAGACACCCAACCTGCTCCTCTCGCCGAGGAAGTGACTTACCAGCGCAGAAGGTTGTAAAAGCAAACTCTTTGCTGTACTTCCTAACATAAAACCTTGCTTTCGCACTGAATCTTCAGCTTCCCATTACGAAGCAACAATAAATAGCAATGCTTTTTTTCCTTCCCCTGTTGATGGAGGTGGGGGGAAACGCAATATTACAAAACAGGGCTGCAAACAGTGAATTTTACCAGTCACGCAGTGTTAATAAAACTATTATACTTTCCTTCCTACCATCACAAGAGGGGGAGTGGTGGGGGGGAGGGGAAGGCTCATTTTTAAGCAAATGCCACCCCCACCCCCATTTTGCCAGGGTGCAAACTTTCTTAGACAAACCAGAGCCGTTTGCAACAGCTTCAGGAAAGCAGCCGGACCCTCCAAGCTCGCTAAAAAGCAAAACCTTGCACGGAGAGCTCTAATCCTCACCCCTGAGAAAAGCTGCGGCCAGCCTCCCCGCCATTGCGTATTGCTTTTCCCCGTCCTTCCCCCTCTTAAACAATCACTCCTGCAGGCAGGAAGAAAAAGGGGAACGTAATAAATGAAGCTGAGCGTTTCGGTGCTGCTTCCACCCCACCCTGCACCTTGTACCGCCGGGATGCTGCTCCC